TCTTCTGTCTTGCAGAAAGTCACACACACACAGCACTCGGCCCCCACCTTGTCTTTCTCTCACCCCCCCCCACAAACACACACACACACACTCTAATACTCTAAAATATGATGGTGTTCAGTTAAACTCTTATGTTTTTTTAACCTTTTACGACTGTAAAACTATGTCATTAAATATCTAAACCCTAATTTCAAAGGGCAAAACTCGCTAAATTGAAATGTTTTTTTGTTGATAGTCAATTATGTTATGATTGTGTTTCACAATTGTATATGTATTTAGATCATTATGACTGTAAGCCAGACTCTTGTGGACCATTGGCCAAGTGTATGCCAGATGGAGGCTGCAATTGTGAGGATGGTTATGAAATCCCCCAAAGCCACCTTCCTACTCCGGCTTCATTTGGTTGTGTTGGTAAGTACGTGAAATTGAAAATAGGTAACTATTCTATATTTCTTGCTTATTCTTATGAAAATAATGTGTAAAACAAAGTGCATCATGTTTTGATCCTGATGTCTTATGCCTAAAAAAATGATCTGGGCCTTACCAGGTTAAAACATTATTTGATCTTTCAAAAGGACAATGCAGAAGCTGCTACTCACAAATCAGAGTCCCTTTATAGATAAAACTTTCTACCCTAAGTTGGGGAAAAAAAAGGTTAACATTTTAAATTATGAGGGAAAAAAAGAGAATATTACATAATAAAGATTTATTCCTTTACTCATTCCTTTTAAGACTTTAAGTGGGATCACAGGTAGGGATATTTGAAATTCTCAAAAATGTGTGGAATGTGCTGGTCAGTTTACCAGCATGCCATGCGATGAAGCAAACTAACTTCTTTAGTAAAAAAGTTGACAGTGTGAGATTGCATTTGCAAACAGCAAAGACTAATCTTTCTTGTAACATCATCCCCTGGATTAGGGTCAATAAAATATGTCCTATAGTATTTGGAAAGGTTAATGAGGATTCGGCTGAGGATATGTTGTCATATCCTTATCTCCATCTTTTATAGATGAGACATCCATAGGCATAGACTTGGATGGAAAACATATTTAAATCCTTGACTTTGCTGTTCTCCCAAACGTCCTTCAAACAGCCTTCAAATTGTTTGCAAATGGTCTTATAATTCAATGCTCACATGGGCAATGACAGTGAGACCTGGAAGGGTGTAATTGGGCAGAACCGCATGCCTGATCTAAACCTGAGTGGTGTTTTGTTATTGGACTTTTGTGCCTTCCACTGTTTGTCCATAACGAACACCATGTTAGAACATAAGGATGTCCATAAGTGCACATGGCACAAAGAACACCCCAGGTCACAGGTCGATGGTCGATTTTGTAATTGTATCATTGGATCTGCAGCCGTATGTTCTGAGCACTCGGATGAAGAGACCGTGCCTTTCACTGATCACCACCTGGTCTTGAGTTGGGTTAGATGGTCGAGGAGAATACTGGACAGACCTGGTACGCGTAAATGCATATTTAGGGTGCTCTGGGAAAGTCTGGGAGAGGCCGCTATCAAAGAGATCTTCAACTCCCACCTCTGGCAGAACTTTCACAGCATTACCAGGACACTGTAGGTAAGGGGGGCCATCAAGCTGATCAAAGAGCTCTGGGTAGAGACCACAAAATTTAGAATGTGGATACAAGTGGCAGAAATGAGCCTTCTCCAAAGGATGGCTGGCCTCTCTCTTGGAGATAGGAACCATGCTGAATGACTTCACAAACAAACTAAAGTAACAATAAATAACTAAAAACAAAAGAAAATAAACTTCACTAAATGTCAATACTGTTAAAGTTTGCAGCTGGCTTGTTATTATTCTTTTTGTCAGATATTGATGAGTGCCAGAGGACTACAGGGATTTGTGGTCCTAACTCAAATTGTAAGAACACCGTCGGGTCATATATATGCACCTGTTTGAATGGTTTCAGTGTAGCAGATCCAACACTGCCACCTGGAACGTCCAATGGATGCACAGGTACCAATAAAAACACAAAATAACAAAATCAATTTTTAATGCAGATTTTAACTTGGTAACTGTGGTATGTTTAGATATTGATGAATGTCTTGCCAATATCTGCGGGCAATATGGGTCCTGCACCAATACAATTGGAAGCTATGTGTGCAACTGCAATGAAGGCTTTCACATTCAATCAGATGCAACCCCTGTTTGCCAAGGTCTGTATTATTATTTATGTCATGTGTTTGGTAGGAAAATCCTTTTGTGTGTTTGAGTGAATATAGCTTGTAGCATAAAGTTCTTTGAGTGATTAACACAATTAGAAAAGCATATTAAGTGTAATTTTCAGTACACAAAGAACATAAATTGAATTTGTTTACATGGACTGTCTTCTTTTCAGATAAGGATGAGTGTCTAACCTCATCTATCTGTGGCCCTGATTCTATCTGCACAAACACACCTGGAGCTTATACCTGTGGGTGTATACCAGGTTACGCACCAACTGATCAATCCAAAGAACCCAGCATGACCAACATATGCACTGGTATTTATAACATATTTACAAAGGCACTAGCTGAAAACTGTAGATATAGGCAAAGAGACTGCAGTTTAATATGAAAAAATGCAGAATATATACAAAAGAAACAGGTTCAGTCTCACAACCTGCCGTAGTATTTTTTGACCTGCAGCTTGAATTTGATTAAATGTGTGTTACAGATATTGATGAGTGTGCTGACCATGTGTTGAACATCTGTGGAGCAAACTGTAACTGCACAAATTCAATTGGATCTTACAACTGTACCTGCCTTACTGGTTATCGAGTGGACAATCCACATGTTATAGCCAGCATTGCTAACCCATGCAATGGTATGTGCTATTCCTATGCTCTTTTGTTTCCAAAAGCAAATAAATATATAATTTCCAAAAAACAAACAAGCAAGAAAAACAGCCCCTTGTGTTTCTCTCACCGCTTTAGATATAGATGAGTGCAGTGAAACTCCTGGACTGTGTGGTAACCAAACTGTGTGTACTAATGCACCAGGCACCTTCTATTGTTCCTGCCCTGATGGATTCTACCCATCAACTGGTGTAATTTGGAAGGCGGGCATCACTTTTTGTAAAAGTGAGCAAAGCTGACTTCAAATACATTTTAGATTTTCAAAAGTGTTTAGAATTTAAATGTATTTTTTTAATTTACTGACAGGCCTTGAAGACATTCTAAATGAAATCAAACCTAATAAGGTAAGACTCGTGGTGATTTATGTTTTAGAGGCTAACTGGCTAACTTTTTAATGCATAACAAAGTTCATTAATAACCCGTTATGTTTCATGATTTTGATTGTAAGTTAGTTCTTTGATAAAGATCACTTTTTCACAGTAATACATTCGACTGTAATTAGACAGTTATACAAAACTTAAATCCCCGTTTTTTAAAGATGCAATCGTGTAGCAAACATAAACTAAACCCAAACGTTAATTTCAGGATAAGACAAAAGAGAGAGCTTTCCTTGAAACCTTGGGTGAAGACCTGAAGAACAATACAGGTGTCCTTTTACCAGATGTGGTACGTAGTTAAAAACGTTAACTTGTAAATGCTACACAACAAATAGGATGTAACGTGATGCACAGAAAACACGGCAGTTATTTTTTATCTAACACAATTTTCTCCGTTCTTGACATCTTTGCAGACAGTTGCAAACTGCTTTTCTACATCTATGGTACTGAAAAGCAAACAGAGTCATAGCTTTATATTTCCAGTTTATTCATTTCATTTGCTTGTTTATTTGTTCATTACAATAACTCAAGTCTTCTGTAGATGGTTTCAGGTGTTGGAACACTTACCAGCACAAGCAAGGTGAGCAGTGAAGGAGACGGGGAGACTGGTAGTGTTATTCTTGGCCTCTCAGAGCAGCTCGTTGTTGCAATGACTCCGTCGACTGAGACGAAAATAAAAAAGGAAGTGCACACTTCAACAGTGGGTAAGACCAAGCTCAACTTTACGCTAATAGGTCAAATTTGAGTTCTTAGTAAATACAAACATAATGAATGCATATCTGTGTTCAAGATTTGAGTCTAGTGGCCATTGGTTCATTGAGCCATGATAGCAAGAGTTCATCCCTCTCTGCCAAGGAATATGAAATGAAAATCAACTTGGAGGATCTAGCTAGGGCCAACAATGGTAAGAGCTTTTTTTTAAAAAATGTTGACTGACACAGGTGCATCAAGATGAATGTGGTTGTTGTTGTTGGGTGTTTTTGTGATGTGACCACTTCCAGGTTCTGTATCAGCCGCCTTTCTGACGCTAGATGGGATGGAGAGCATTCTCAGTCATCAATACTTCAAAACCAAGAATGTGACAGAGATGTACTCAGATGTTTTAACTGCCATAATACCAGGAATAAACACCACCAACCTGACAGAGCCTGTCAACTTTACAATTCAACACAAGGTGTAGCATCAAGATTGTACATATAGAGTGTTGTGAAAGTGTTTGCCCCCTTCCTGTTTTCCTGGATTTTTAGTATGTTTGTCACTTAAATGTTTCAGATCATTAAACAATTATAAATAATAGACAAAGATAATGCAAGTAAACTCAAAATGCAGTGTCTAAGTGTAGGTGTTTGTCATTAAGGAAAAAAAAAGTAATTGCCCCCTAACCCTAATAACTGGCTGGGTCACCCTTAACAGCAACAACTGTGTTGCAATACGTGGCAATGAGTCTTTTACAGCTCCGTGGAGGAATTTTGGCCCACTCGTCTTTGCAGAATTGTTTTCATTCAGCCACATTGGAGGGTTTTTGATCGACAGCGTCTCAATCAGATTAAGGTCAGGAATTGGACTTGGCCACTCCAAAGTCTTAATTTAGTTTTTCTTAAGCTGGAGGTGGACTTGCTGATGTGTTTTGGATAATTTTGAATCATCATCAGCGTGCCTCAGAGTGAGGTCTTGAACAGATGGACGATATTCTCCTTCAGGATATTTTGGTAAACAGCAGAATTCATGGTTTTTCAGATCCTAAGGCACCACAACAACCCCAGATGTAGTGGAACTCAAATCTCATTAGTACACAAAATATTTTCCAAAAAGTCTTCAAGATCATCAAAATGGGCTTTTGGCAAAGGTGAGATGAGCCTTTTGGTCAGAAATGTTTTATTTCTTGAACTCCTCTGTGGATGACATTTTTGCCGAGTCTCTTTCTTATTCTTGAAGCATGAACTCTGACCTTAACTGAGACATGAAGCTTGCAGTTCTTTAATGTTGTTCTGGGTTCTTTTGTGACGTCCTGGATGAGTTGTGAATGTGCTCTTGGAGTAATTTTGGTAGCCCAGTCACTCCAGAGGGAAGCCAGGAAGCTTTCCAGACTCATAGCTATCAGTGACTTTGTTTCTCCATTGTTTCTTTAGATCGTGGTATGATGTCTTTCTCTCTTTGTCCAATATTAACATTTGTGTTTAATATGCGGATCGCGGATACAAGCGGCCTCCTCCGAAGGGTGGCTGGCCTCTCCCTTAGAGATAGGGTGAGAAGTTCGGCCATCCGGGAGGGGCTCAGAGTAGAGCAGCTGCTCCACATCGAAAGGAGCCAGCTGAGGTGGTTCGGGCATCTGACAAGGATGCCTCCTGGGTGAGGTGTTCCAGGCATGTCCCACCGGGAGGAGGCCCCGGGGCAGACCCAGGACATGCTGGAGAGATTATATCTCTCGGCTGGCCTGGGAACGCCTTGGTATTCCCCCGGATAAGCTGGAGGAGGTGGCTGGGGAGAGGGAGGTCTGGGCCTCTTTGCTTAGGCTGCTGCCCCCGCGACCCGGCCCCGGACAAAGCGGATGAAAATGGATGGATGGATGGATGGTGTTTAACTCATTCACTGCCATTGACGTCTATAGCCGTCAATGGCAGTGAATGAGTCAATGGGTTTAACTCATTCACTGCCAATGGCTGGCAGTGAATGAGTTAATATGCAAGACACCAGGAAATCAGGAAGGGGGCAAACACTTTTCACACCACTGCATGTATTGAAAAAGAATCAGACTTTTTATTCTTGCCTTTGCCTATTTTGTTTGTTTTTTTTAGGAAGTACCAGAAAATGGAATGGTCACTTGTGTGTACTGGGAAGCCGGAGAAGCCGAAGGTGGACAAAATGGAGAGACGATGCGTTGGTCAGAAGAGGGTTGCTGGGTTGCATACTCTCACAAAAACTACACTGTTTGTAGCTGCTCACACCTTTCTACCTTTGCTCTCATAATGCAGATTGGGGAGGTATGTCAGTTACATGTTGGTAAGGTTGAAGTCTTATTACTTACAGGACTTAACATACTTGTACATTTTTCAGATTTGATTAAAACTCCACAATTTGACAAATGGAAACATGCAGTGTATATAAGCGGTTAAATCCCTTTTTACATTTTAAGTGGAAGAAATTTTTTTTTGTAATCAGTCAAAATTTCTGTAGAACTTTAATTCGGTATTCTGTCAAACTGCTTTGTCAACAAGTATAGTACACTTTACATACCCAGTTTTAGACAGTTTATCCCACACTTCTTGGCATATGCAGAATTAGAAAGAGACACAACATTTCACTAGCAGGGACCACTCCCTTGGTAACGATGAGCAATGAGGGATGAAGGAGTGTGATTAGTGCTGCGGTTTGGGGAAGGCCTTGAAGGGGTCTGGCAATGGCTCTCGGGCCGGGCAGAACCCCCTGTACTAACGAGAAATAAAGGGAGGAAAGGAAGAGAGGAGAGGAGAAGAGAGGAAAGAAAAAAGGAAGGGGGGGGGCATGAAAACGAGAACAGCAGGTATTGGAGAAGGGGGGCTTTTATAGCCTGAGGCCAGAGGGGGCGCTCCTGAAATTCAGATGATATCTCAACAAAAATTGCTCTTAAAAAATCTCCTGGATCTTAGACATTTGTCAGCTTTAAAGCATTTCAATAAGCCAATGAGTCAAGCACAGTTATAGCCAAATTTACATCCATTTTCATCAGTATCCATGTATCTCATTTTCAGCCTGTGCCACAGAATGACTTCTTAGAGTGGCTGAACCGGATATGTGTGATTATTGGACTATTCTTCTTGGCTTTGGCCATCTTTACCTTCCTTCTGTGCAGCTGGAATCCCAAAATTAACAACACAGCCCGTCTCCACCTCTGCCTCAACCTGTTTTTTTCACAACTGCTCTTGTTGTGGAATGACAAATACACTGATAATAAGGTACAATGTGGCTAAACTCCAAGAATTATCAAAAGATTATCTATTGTGTTCCAATTGTCCATAAAGCTTAAACATATTTATCTGTCTCTACAGCTGGCCTGCACTGTCATGGCAGGGCTTCTCCACTTCTTTATTGTTGCCAGTTTTGTGTGGATGTTGCTGGAGGCACTACAGCTCCACTTGTTAGTACGGAAGCTCTCCCAGGTGAAAGTCATTCAAAGAGATGGCCTCCCCAGGCCTCTTCTCTATCTGATTGGCTATGGTGTTCCATTTGTGATTGTCGGTGTTTCGGCACTGATGTATTCTGGTGGATATGGACGTACTGAGGCTAATGTGTAAGTCAGACACAGTGTAATGCACTGATTTATGCATTAAATCCTTTTATTACTAAATGTACAAGACTGGATAATGGTCTCTGATGTGCGTTTGAATTGCAGATGCTGGCTGTCAGAAAAACGAAACTTCAAATGGGCTTTAACAGGGCCAGTGATAGCGATCCTTGCTGTGTGTCTATTTTTGTGTTAGAACTGTATTACACATTACATTTTTTTTCTTAAAATGATAATTTGTCTCAAAATTAAATTATAAATCTGATTATTTTATCAGATGAATTGCTACCTGTTTGGTGCAACTTTATGGAGTCTGCGGCCCACCTTGGCTAACATAAAAAGTGATATCTCTCAGTCCAAAGATACAAAGTAAGTTTGAGGTTTATTTAAAAAGCAAGTTCAAATTCTGAGTAATCATTAAGATTTTTGTGCAGCTTTTAAAAAAAAATGTCACTCAGTAGAGACTCCAGACTAAGTGCGATTTCCATTCTGATTCTGATTATTTGCTAAATGACAACACAGATTTTTCCCTATTTCAACTACAATTGACATTATATAGAAAGAATAATCAACTTTTTTCAATGCAAAATATTATTTGCATAATAAAAAATAAATAAATAGATAAATAAACTTTTGCTCCAAACTGAGTAAGTTACAGGATTTTCTCTTTCAAGCATGCTAATAATTGAATAGAAATCAGCTGCTGTATACCTTTATATCAGACACTTGCATCATTTTCCCATATACTTATGAATTCCCCGGATGAGAGGACATCAATCCTTTTCCCTTTTTTCTCACCTGTCTGTAATTTTCCTTTCACAGCTCTCGCCTGACTCTCTTACTTGTGGTTGGTTCTGAGCTCTGAATAGTTTAGCTTGACTCACTTTTCATTTGTTGGCTAATTTTTAAAAAGTACAGAATTAAGTGTTTGATCAGGTTGGTCATAACAAACATTTTCTGTGGTCGTTTACTTTGGCGAACTTTGTGTCTTCACTCGTGGTGGGGAGTTTCCATGCTGACAACTTGTTGGCATGCGCCTGTGAGTGTGCGCACAACTATTTGCATGCGTTCCCATGTGCAAGTAAATCGTTTTTTATTTGTGCACCGTGAGTGTGTAGAAATAATAGTTTGTAACAATTTGCTCATGAAATGTATGCGCAAGACCAGCCAGTCCCCCTTCTGGACCAGAGAAGACTGGAAATCGGGAGATACCTTTCCCATGCCAGACAATCAGTTTATCTCTAGAGACTAAATATGTCTTCCTGTTTGATTATAAGTGCAGTTACAGTAGAGAAATGAATTCATTGAGCATACTGACTTTTTTATTTAACATCCTGCTCCAATGTTTTGTAAAGAACTGTAAAAACCTTCTGTTGTTCTGTTTGCAGGTTGATTTTGTTCAAGATATTGGCCCAGTTTGTTATACTTGGCTGTACCTGGATTCTTGGCCTGTACCAGACAAACCTGTTCTTTCAGGTTGCTTTTATAGTTCTGAACTCCCAGCAGGGTACTTTTCTCTACATTGTCCACTGTGTCCTCAACAAGGAGGTAGACTCGTTATACCAGTGTTTCTTAACATTTTTCTTACATACTGTATGTCAAACTTTTTATAATTCATTCTTTATATTATTCCTGAGTTCAATTCTACCATCAGGCTGGGGTCTTTCTGTGTGGAGTTTGCATGTTCTCCCCCTGTTTGCGTGGGTTCTCTCCGGGTACTCCGGCTTCCTCCCACCATCCAAAGACATGCACTTAGTGGGAATAGGTTAATTGAGTAATCTAAATTGCCCATAGGTGTGAATGCGGAGTGAATGTGAGTGTGAATGGTTGTCTGTCTCTTTGTGTTAGCCCTGCGACAGCCTGCGACCTGTCCAGGGTGTACCCTGCCTCTCACCCTACGACAGCTGGGATAGTCTCCAGCACACCCCGCGACCCTGAAAAGGATAAGCGGAAGCGAATAGATGTATTCTTTATAAGAGAAAAAAAAATTAAGTTAAAATGTAGTTAAATAAAAGCCAATCTCTGCCCCACTAGCAATGGCTCTGTGGCTTTATGGATCTATCTATAGGGAATGCACCACATTAAACACCTGTTTAATAATGACCAGCTCTGTGATTTAACATCATCTCTAGTTAAAACATATTGGTAGTATTTTTTATGAGTTTTATAGTGAGAGTTATTTCATTTATTTTTCAAAATGTGCATTTATTTCATATTCTAGATTAGAGATGAGTATGTCAAATGGCTGACCTGTTCTTTCAACAAGACCAGAGAAGGCGGCTCAGTGGTAAGTTTTGCATAGCAGTCACTTGACCAATAAGACTTTTTAAATTTAAAAGCTAACCTGTGTTGCAAATGTGAGCGCATAAAGTGTTGCTTTGCTTGTAATACATTTAAACCTTTTGTAACATTTTTTTTAGTTTTTCTAAAGTATCTGCACTACTTTTTGACAGAGAAATGCACCATCAGTGTCCGAGGACTTGGACATCCCTCAAGAGCACAGAGGGTGATGTTGATAAATAAGTGAAGGAAAAGATGGAAATGGAAGATTTATATACTTTTCTGCTGGCAACTGTTTACTTTCTTGTCAAATATTTGAATTTGTACTGTGAATCAACCTTATAAGTTCTTTCTGTCATGAAAAAATAGTGCATTTTATGTAATACTTGTTTAAACTTATTTAGAAAGTGTTTTAAACTACTACTTGCTGATTAAATGTCCCAAGTGTTTCTCCCAAATGTTCAACTTTACTTTGAAAAGGTTATGGCCAGATATAGGTGCGCCCAAATCATACATCAGATCTTGGGTTTCACAACCAGTTATTAGGGCTAGAGGACAATAACTTTTTCCACACAGGGTCAGGAGGGTTTGGACAGCATTTTTTCCTTAATAAATCTAGTTGTTAAGAAAACATTTGCTTACTTAAGTTTTAGTTTTGCTTATTTAAAGTTGCTTGATGACGATTGATCAGCAATTGACCAATGATTGATTCAGTGGTTGGAGTCAACTATTGTACAAGTGGCTTGTAATGCACAGTTTTACAAGACACAATAAACTGCTGTTAATGCTATTAAAGTGGTTGCTTGTGGGATTTACATACTGCTTAATTTGACTCAATAAAGTCACCTGACACCCAAAGTTCTGTTTTTTTGTCACTGTTTAAATGACTTTAAAGTAAATACATTATTTACTTTCATTTAGAATTTAGGAGGAAGAAAGTTGGTCACTAATTATCAATGTCTCATAATAAATGGTAAATGGACTGGTTCTTATATAGCGCTTTTCCACTCTTCTGAGCACTCAAAGCACTTTACACAACTTGTGCATTCACCCATTCACACAAGCATAACTGACATTCATACACATTCATACTCTGATGAATGCATCGGAGAGCAATTTTGGGTTAGTATCTTGCCCAAGGATATTTGGCATGCAGACTAGGGGAAGCCGGGAATCGAACCACCAACCTTCCGATCAGTAGATGACCTGCTCTACCACCTGAGCTACAGCCACCCATTTGTAAATAAGGTTTACAAATGGGTGCCTTTTTGGCATGAGGATAGGAAGGAGTCTTGCCCTTTTTACAGGCCTGAAATACAGCCCCCCTGAAGCACAGTATGGCTACATTTTTCATGCAGGTGCCATGATTACTGCAGCTTGATGAGAGCAAACAGTAGGGCACTGGTGGAGGGCAGCCTGAAGGAGGAGTAGTTGGTAATGTAAAGCAAATGCAGGCACTGATCGTGTACATATGAATTAGAATACACAAAACACTGAAACGGTTCGTTTCGAAGTAGGAGTGAGCTCTGATGCAGGTTTTGACTGAAAGCTTGAAATGTTTTGGGGTTTTTTTTGTGTGAAAGGACAAATATTCAATAGATCAGAAATACGAGATGGCCTACAGAAAAAAAAGTAGGACAAGCAGGACAGCCCCTATTTTTTTAATTTCACAAATGAAATAGCTATTTGATCAATTTTGAAGTGTCCTTTAAAAGTCCTTAGTCTCTAAATTGATTTGGTCCAGATTTTACAGGATTCGTTTTGGGAATTTTAAGTATAACTGTGTTCATTGTCTTTGAGATCTGAGAAAGGAACTAAAGAAAAGAATAAATGCTTCACAAACCTGAAAACACTTTTTCACAAACGTGAAAAAGACAACATAAAAATCCCGCAGTCAACAGTGTATGTTTCTTTCCTAGGTCCTTAACATAGTCAACACAAGTTGGTGAATTTGCATTGCTTTTTGCATTCACATAATGCTTTTAAAAGCAATATTTGGGTGTTGTTCATGTTTTACAATGTGAACATTCAGAACAGATCTGGAGACTTGACTTGACTTGTCACTATGGACTGTGTCTTGTCACTTTTTCTGGGTAAGTGAATTTGACAGAGAAAATAATTTTAAAGGTATTAAATTGATGTCAGTGCTAATTTTAATGAGAAAACTAGATTATTAAGATGGAACAAATTTTTAGTTTAGATTCTGGATTCAAAGACACATATTTCTAATCAAATAATGGTAAATTTTAAACAGTTACTATGACTTTAGGTAGCATTTCACAAAGATATGTGTAAATTTCAGTCAATGTTTACAATACTTTAATCGCAAAAGTTGTAGTTTTTGGTTTTAGCTGTTGAAAAATCACCTTTTAAAGCAATGAAAACTAGTTCATTCACCAGTATTTTTCCCTTTGGTAGGTTTGTTTATCATACCTGTCTCTTGTGATTTTCCTCCTGGTATGTAAGATTTTCTGCTACAGCAAATACTAAAAAACCCACAGCAAATCCTCCAAAAACGTGTAAAATAACTACTATGATACCAATGCTTGCTTGTTATTTGCAGGTTCTTGTGATGGATACATTGAGATAGATGAACCATGGCGGAACCGAGCCTTTGCATCTACCCCTTTTACTGGTTATTCCCAAAATGATGCCGATTTTCTTGGCAAATGGTTGCGCTTTACGGGGATCGGTGGAGACACAGTTGTTACATCCTGTCTAACAGTCCAAACTGGTGCTACACTTGTCCCCATTTTTATACCATTTCCCTTACCAACTAATTTGTCTCTGTATCCGACAAATGGGACTGCAAAAGGGTGTAATGAAAATAGTTTTTTAGTGAGTGTGGCCCTCTGTCCAGGAGAATTCTATGTGTATAAACCAGAGGATCCCCTCCCAGCTCCCGACATGGTATATGTAACTTGTGAGTATAAACATTTTTTGTGTGTATAATTTTAATTTGAAGTTTTATTGGTTTAAAGAATTGTGTGAAATGTACATGATGTGTTTAAATTTGTATTTTACAGGCAACATCTTACGAGCAAACGTTACTTACAAAATACACAAAATACGAAATAAAAGTTTCGAAACATCAATTCTCATTTGGAAAATTAAGGAACATTTTCAAACTTTATGTAACGCCAGAACTGCCATTAGTGATATTTGATAGGCAAATAATGCAAAACGTCTTTATAATAATAATAATAATAATAATAATAATAATAATAATAATAATATAAGCCCAAAATGCATCTGAAAATGATGATGATGATTTAAATTACAAAAAAATGCTGTCAAAACCAGCATGGCCGTGTGTAAAAAAGCCAATGCCTCCTAAATGTAATAACTGGTTTTGCCCCCTTTGGCAGCAAGAACTGCAAGTTTTAATTCAGCTACACTGTAGATGGTTTTCAGCTAAAACCTGTTTAGGTCACCAAAAGCATTTCAGTCTGATTCTGGACTTTGATTCACCCATTCCATTGGTTTTGGTATGTTTTGAGCCATTCAGAGGTGATTATGGTGGTGTTTTTTGGATTATTGTCCTGCTGCAACTCAAGTGAGCAAAGCAGCCCCGGACCACCACACTACCACCACTGTATTTGACTCAAACTAGGATCACATTTTCTGAATTCTGTGTTAGTTTTATGCTAGAATAAGCCTCAAACCTTACAAAACGTTCAACATTTGTCTCATCAGTCAACAGAATATTTCCTCAAAGACTTCGAGGGTTAATCAAAAATGTTTTTAACAAATGTAAGACGAACCTTTCTGTTTTGCTCAGTAGTGGTTTTCTCCTTGAAACTCTCACATTTTTGCTCAGTCTCTTTCTTATTGTTGGATCATGACTGGGATCTTAACTGAAATTAAGTGTGTAGTGCAGGTCTTTAGATGTTGTTGTGTTTTCACTTGTGAACCCCACGATGAGCTGTTGATGCTCTCTTGGAGTAATTTTGGGACCCTGGATTTTTCCAGGGAAGGTTTCTAGATAATGGCTGTCACTTAAGTTCCAAAGTCTTAGAAATGTCTTTGTAAACCTTTCCAGGCTGATACATGTCAATTACATTGTTTCTTAGCTGCATGATATGTAGCTTTTAGAGAGTTTTTAGCCTATTTCACTTTGTAAGACAAGTGATTTTATGGTTCAAGAGTTTTGGCAGTAATTGGATCCAGGCATAGCTAATGGAACTGAACTTAGCTTTTACAAAAGATCCGGTTAACTGTTAATACCTGTGAATTCATGACTTAATAAAGGGAGGAAATGCTTCAAATAGGGCCAGGAAGGTTTGGATTACTTTTTTTTCTCTTAATAAATTAACTGATTATTTCAGAATTTTATATTTTATTAATCTGTGTTAAAATAAGTTTTTACTTTTATTAACTTGTTTGATGCTCCAAAAAGATTTAAGCATTTTCAAAGACTGATTCAATTACTTATTATCTTTGTCTTGTGAGTGTATGCCTTGTGTTGATGAATTTCTTCACTCACAAAAAATATTTTGTGATGGATACAACCTAAAAGAGTCTGGGAGTAAACTACATTGACAAAGTAATAGGCATCTTTCCACTGAGATGCAGTTACACAATATTTTTTAAGCAAATATAATACTGAAATAACAATAAAAAAAAAACAAGTTACACAGAATAGAACAGAAAAATCAAATATTAGATTAAAACAGACGTATTCTTTGATGTAGGTGTTTGTATTGGTGCTGTATGGGAAAAAACATCATTTGCATTCTTAAAAAGATGGCTACACTAAACTTCATTTGATTAGGCCGCAGTATTTTGAAAACTAGTAAAGATGTGAAACAACTTGCCAGCTATGAACTGTTTTGTGTTTCGCACAAGCAAGTAACATGTCTGTTACAATATCATACTCATTCATTTTTATGAGCAATGCATGCTGCATTCATGATTTTTTTCTTAATATAAATAATATATATAATATTATTATTTATCCTAATATATAAAATAAAAAATATATTATTTATTGGGAATATTATATTATTCATAATATTGAACATGTACCATGATTTTATATCTATTTAGATCATAGTAAGTGTACTGAAAAGTCTTGTGGACCATTGGGTAATTGCACAGCAGTTGGGGGATGCATTTGCAATGATGGATATGAAATGCCTCCAGACGACCCGCCTACTTCAACATCATATGGCTGTATTGGTAAGAAATTATAGTACATTAAAAACAAGATGTTATTTTCAAAACAGCAATATTTATATATATTTTTTATATTACGATCAATATGAAAATACATAATTTTCAAGATCGTTACAGAAATCTAGACCTATAATGTTTACACCAGTAATTGTAAAAGCTGTTATTTATAAACAGACACTCAGAAGCAAGTGCATCATCTGGACTAATATGTTTTTAAAGTTTGCAATTTGCTAATTGTATATCATCTTACCAGATATCAATGAGTGCACAAGGACTAAAGGAATTTGTGGTTATAATACCAACTGTTACAATACAGTTGGGTCATACAGTTGTAACTGTTGGGAAGGATTTCAACTACCAAAGCCAATACCAAAACTTAAACTGACCCCTGGCTGTGAAGGTACAAATCAAACAAACAAACACAGAAATAATCCTGTTTAGTTTGTTTTATATTCACTTTTTAATTGTTCTTTGTGTAGATATTGATGAATGTCTTAGTGGTGTCTGTGGGCCATACGGGACCTGCTACAACACCATAGGAAGTTTTGTGTGCAACTGCTCTAAAGGATTTAGGGCTGATTATAAGATGTTCCCTATTTGCCAAGGTCTGTATTGCACGTTACAATATTCTATCAAGTGAACTTCATTGGACTGTTCATATTACTGTTAATTACTGAGTGTGACAACAGAATATTTGTATGCATAATATATTAAGAGTTGTATGAGTTTCTGTGAAAGGGTGGTTTGTACTTTTACAACTTTAAAATGCAGTGTGATAAGAACTAGCTGTAACTTTCTAACTTCAGATGTTGATGAGTGTTACAACTCAACGATATGTGGTCCATATTCTATCTGCGAAAACCTGCCTGGAAATTACTCCTGTAGCTGTAAGGTGGGTTTTGAACCAATGGATAAAACTAAGCAACCCAATGAGACCAACGTCTGTATTGGTATGTGGAAATTGATTTATTTATATTTGAAGTCACTTGTGTTTGCTCTCTCTCTCTGTCTCTGTGTTTCCCTGCTATTTCAAAAGTATTTATGTGACCACTACAATGTCACAAGATTGTTATACTGAGTAAAGAAAGGCCTAGGCTGACAAAATACATTAAATCACAGGGTCATTGCTGTTTTAGTGTCAGAAGGATGAATTAATGATGAACTATCAAAGTGTTCAATGAAGCACTGGCAATGTCATGGCTTGGCTAAAATCATACAGACTTTTTTTTTTTAAAAAGTCAAGACGGAACACATTGTCACAAAATGTGGAAACTATGCAAAGATTAAATTTAATCTATTATAATAAATAAAACATGAAAACATACTATCCAGATTTGGCATTGCTAGCACAATTTAGCTGCACAACCTGTCCTTGTTAGATTTGAAACTAACAGAATAGCCTCTTTTCCATTATTACCTAATCGGACAGACTAACCAAGATTCCTCCAAATATGCGTTTATTGTTGTCATAGAAACATGTCCAGGCATCCGCTGATGTAATTTTTGTTTCTCAGAAAAGAATATATGGCTTCTTTTGTTGATAACATATATTTTTTTAATTCATGTACTTCAACAGATATTAATGAGTGTATCCTACCAGTGTGTAGTACATGTATAGACATCTGCGGACCAGATTGTAACTGCTCAAATGCAATTGGATCTTACTTGTGCACCTGTATCCCTGGTTATCGGATTAACAACCCAGACTTTATAGCCAGCTATGATAACCCATGCAGAGGTTTGTGCTCTTGTTTAGTGTTTTGACATATAGCAGCTCAAATATGATTAAATGCAGCAGTTTGACTAAATGATCAATTAAAAACAGATTGCCTTGCATGTGTGTGTGTGTGTGTGTGTGTGTGTGTGCTCTCTATACTGCAGATATTGACGAATGCACTGAGACACCCGGTATATGTGGTAAAATGACTGTGTGCACTAATGTACCGGGTACCTTTTACTGTTCCTGCCCCGATGGATTGTTCCCCACAACTGGAATCGTTGCCTGGATATTGAATGTCACATATTGTCAAAGTGAGTCAGTTTCAACCATAATTTTGAATTGTTTTAAGGTTATTTATTTGGTTTGAGGGAGCATTTGATGTTCACATTTTTAATTTACTGACAGGCGTTGAAGATGCTCTAAATAAAGTTCCAGTCAAAGAGGTGAGACCCATCGAAATATTTACCTTTTAAAGGTGCCTTATTTTTTTTGTCACCAATGCATAACAATGTTTAAACCAATGTTTAGCTCCATTCAAATAAAGCAACAGGAAATTAAACCATGACAATTACCAGACAGTGCTTTGTAATAAATGAATACTAATACTGCACATTCAATGCAGGGTCTGACAAAAGAAATATCATTCATCAGCAATATGCAAGATGACCTGAAAAACAATACAGGTGCCTTCATACCAGAAGCGGTATGTAGTTCAAAAGTGATGCTTGTAAGCCAGAGTGTGCTTTGTTATATATTCAGATATTTGTAACTAAAAATAATATGTTATGTGATGTACTGAGTAAACCACAGTACATTTTATCTAACGCCTTTTTCTCTTTTCTTCATAATGTGTTTGCAGACGGTAGCCAACAGCTTTGCTGCATCTATGGTACTTAATGTCCAGCCAAAGAAAACCTACCATATTCCATGTCTGTATTTACATTTATGTGTTTCACTGATTAAAATGATTTACATTTTTGCAGGCCGTGTCCGGTGTTGGACCACGAGCCACACAAAGCAAGGTGAGTAGTGAAGGAGATCGGGAGACGGGCAACGCAATTCTTGACCTTTCAGAGTATATCGTTGTTGCAATGACTCCACATACCGAAAACCAAACCAAAAAGGAAGTGCACTCTTCGACAGTGGGTAAGTTAAATTCTAATATTTTGCAGCTTGACTATATTTAAAATTACTGTTGGTATGAATTGACTGATTGTTATCTATTTGTAAGATCTGAGCCTGCTCGCCATTGGTCCAGGAAGTAAGGATAACTGGAATACCTCCCTCTCTGCTAATGGAAATACCATGGACTTCAACTTGCAGGCTATAGCTCGTGCTAACAATGGTGAGAGAGTATTTTAAAAATTAAATATATTGACAAATCCAAAATGTTTTTATTTAACGAATGGTTTTCAATTTCTTTTGTGATGCGAAAACTCCCAGGATCTGCAACAGCTGCTTTTATGACACTGAATGGGATGGAGAGTCTTCTCAGTCATCAGTATTTCCAAACAGAGAAAAAGACAGATATGTGTTCGGATGTTATCACAGCCATAATACCAGTTAATAACACTAACCTCACAGAGCCTGTCAACTTTACTATCTACCATAGGAAGGTACAGCTGCAGAATCTCAACTCTACATCTATTAATGCAGAGGGATACAGACTTTTAATGTTTCTTCTTTGCTTTTTCAGGAAGTACCAGAAACAGGAACAGTCAGTTGTGTTTACTGGAAAACCACAGAAACTGTAGAAGGAAAGTCTATGAGCTGGTCAGAGGAAGGCTGCTGGGTTGCATTCTCTAATGAAAACTATACAATCTGCAGCTGTTCTCACCTTTCTACATTCGCCCTGATCATGCAGATTGGGGAGGTATATATTTTTTTCTTCTTCTTTTTTGATGAACTTATTATTAATTTGATTTTGAGTGGTGGATGCACAGACTTTGTCTTTTCTTCACTTCATTGTGTTGTAGAAGTAATTTAATTAGATAAAATAACTCTTTTTTTCTATTAGCAAACACTGAGTGACTCAGAATGGCAATACGTAGGGAAAAATTCTTGTAAACCCAAAAACTGTTATAAAAATTTTAGAAATTGAATACGGTACTTTGTGGAAACTCCCTTGGCCACAAACAATCTCCTTAGCTAGTGTATAAAAACTTGGTACAGGTTGATTTAGCCAGTTTATAACATTCTTTCCAGAAGTAATTATGGTCTGTGTGTCTGGGAGCTGAAGGGTTGTCAGCGGTTTGTCCCAAAGCCAACTGTGAAGGGACCTGAATAGTTACTTGCATACTAAGAAAAATATGCAGTAAGGTCATTTTAATCACAATCTTCATGTCTCATTTTCAGCCTACACCATCAAATCCTTTTTTAGAGTGGCTGAACCGGGTATGTGTGATTATTGGACTATTCTTCTTGGCTTTGGCCATCTTTACCTTCCTTCTGTGCAGCTGGAATCCCAAAATTAACAACACAGCCCGTCTCCACCTCTGCCTCAACCTGTTTTTTTCACAACTGCTCTTGTTGTGGAATGACAAATACACTGATAATAAGGTACAATGTGGCTAAACTCCAAGAATTATCAGAAGATTATCTATTGTGTTCCAATTGTCCATAAAGCTTAAATGTATTTATCTGTCTCTACAGCTGGCGTGCACTGTCATGGCAGGGCTTCTCCACTTCTTAATTGTTGCCAGTTTTGTGTGGATGTTGCTGGAGGCACTACAGCTCCACTTGTTAGTACGGAAGCTCTCCCAGGTGCAAGTCATCCGACGAGATGGCCTCCCCAGGCCAATTCTCTACCTTGTTGGCTATGGTGTTCCATTTGTAATAGTGGGTGTTTCTGCACTAATTTACTCTGATGGATATGGTGTTACCTCCTCAAATGTGTGCGTAACACATAATTATTTTCACATTTTCCCATGTGATCAATGTTTTTCTAGAACAGGTTTGCTTGATTGATTATTTATTTACTTGTTTACATGATTCTTTTGCAGATGCTTTCTCTCTACAAAGCGGAATTTCAACTGGGCTTTAACGGGACCTATTATTGCTGTCCTAGCAGTGAGTACATTGAGTATTTGCAGCTGCGTATTGAGTGTTTAACATCCTCATGTGTATATGTATAACTACATGACTGTAGTTAGCTGTCATGTTAGGCCTTGGACATTTAACTTCTGTTGGACAAATGGTTTGTATTTGGCCCATGAAATGTAGGATTGGGTATAGGATTATATTTAAAGCACTGCCGTGCCAAATTGGATTGACAACTTATTGTAATGGAACTGAAGCAATAATTTATAATTAAAAGTCTGTGTTATCTAGTCTGTGGCAGGCTTCTTTTTACTTTGTACACCTAGCAAATATTGCTGTTTGTTTATTTCTCAAAGATCAACTGGTTATTGTTCCTTGCTACTCTCTGGAGTCTGAGACCCACTTTGGCCAACATGAAGAGTGATGTTTCTCAATCCAAAGACACCAGGTTTGAACATTCATGTACTGTTTTCACTGAGGTGACAATGAAAGTGGCACCTGCATGTAAGTGCTAATGCACAATTTGTGACTTACGTACATGTCTTTATAGTGGAACTCATTGTAATGTTAAGGTGAAGGATGGCTTTGGATAAATGAGCTGAAATAAGATGAAACACAGAAAATAAGGACATGTTTTCTGTGTATGAATGTAAACACAAATAATGGTAAAAAAATATATTGTGCTCTTTGTTTTTCAGGTTGATTATTTTCAAAATCGTGGCACAGTTTGTCATACTGGGCTGTACATGGATTCTGGGCCTGTACCAGTCAAACCTTTTCTTCCAGGTCCTCTTCATCATCCTCAACTCCCAGCAGGGCACATTCCTGTACATCGTACACTGTCTGCTAAACAAGGAGGTAGACCTTAGCTTGAGCTATGCTCTTATTACATTTTGCTCTTTCACAACCTCTCATTTAAATGTTCACACTAGGCCAATAGTAACACAATGAAGGGAGCATAAAGTAAGTTTGTGGTTATTCGCTAAAAAAAAAGATCTGCTGGTTTCTCCTTTACTGTGTTTTACAAATTTTAAGAAGTACAATGTTCACAGTGTAACAATGATTATGGTTGTAAAGCTTTACATGGACTCTTCAGTACGGAGCTATTATACTGTACTGAAACTGTCTTTACCAGGTGCGAGAGGAATACATTAAATGGCTGACATGCTCTATTGGAAAAGAGGCAGCTGAGGTAAGTCTTGTGAAAAACATCGAGTCCTGTCACTTTTAATCTCAGTCAGATCAGCTCTTAGCCCAGCTGTTTCTAACAAATGAATGTATTTCAGGAAAAAGATGTGGGTTCGGTCACCGAAGATTTCGACAAGCCTGAGAACCAAAACAATGAAGGGAAGAAGGACCACTGATCCAATGAAGTGAGCAACGCTAAAACAGACAACGCTATATGTATCGAGTTATTATCCGTGCTTTTTCTTAATTCCATTTTATTGTGTCTAGAAAGTTAACGGTAGCATAGCATATTAGCTTATTAGCTTAGCATATTGAGGGCCCTAGCTTGCTATTTTAACTGCTAAAGAAAAATATATTTTTAATTAAACCTGAATGCAGTGACTGCTAAAGTAATGCTCTTTCACAAGCATTTCTAGGTGTGTTTAAGTTTTATTAGTTGTATGTTACTGTACTAGCTGTGCTATATTACAACAGTACATGTCATGTTAACACCATCAGTTAGGCCTGTTATTATTATGCTGTATAAATTTGAAATGTAGCTAATGTAGCTAATGTAGCTAACGTAGCGGTAGAATACCATAAGTCTGACAGCCATACTGATTTTCTCACTCACTGACTAAACAGACCATCTCTGTACCTAATTTGCTTGGGTCTGGGAGCTTTCGCAAACATCTTGCTACTCACACCCTCAGAGAGTCAGGCTTGAAAAAACAAAACCTCCTACAAATAAAAACATGTGCTTCTCAGTTTATTCTTTCTTGTGTTATTTGCATTTTATTTACGTGGTGTATGAGACACTTTGACGTAGCTTAAACTTTACAAGACAAATTCGAGGGATGTACAAAGCCAAGCATACTTTGTGATTTACATCAGCATTTAGCTTGCACACTATTTCAGAAAAATCCCTTACAGGACAGAAACAAACTATTAAACTTGAATTAAGAAATTAAAAAAAAAAAAGAAATAAAAGGAGTGCAGGGATAAATCGTGTTTAATATGGTTTGCTGTAATGTCTGTCATTTATCAGAACATGCATGTAACCCTGAAAGAAAGTAACTTTTACTACCCTTCAGTTTCCTTAGGATAGATAAGGTATCACATCCTTGGTTCATCATTAGTGCTTCCTTTCTTTAGGGAGAATAACCATTAATTTGTAACATTAGGGCCATGTTACCCAGATCGTCAGTTATTTATTTGGGATTCACATTTATTGTAGATGATTGCATTTGTTGCTGTTTGCCTCTTATCATAATTGGGAAAAAATAAAGTGCTGATGATATTCCTTGCATTGGAGATTTACAACAACATACCTTACTTTTTGTGGTAAATTACAACACTCAGGATTCACTCTTGGATAATTTGGGTTCCCAGGAAATCTAATATCTGATTATACCTGCACTTGTAGACTAAAACTTTTACAGTACACAGATATCATCAAGTTTACTGTAATGCATATGCAATACAAATGTCTTCCTGAAGGCTGCAGTGTTCAACCACATTATGAGATTGCAGCTTTTGTGCTTCCTGACTCCGACCAAGAAGACATTGTTTAATTTAAATCATATGTGTAACATGAAATCCAACATTTCATTCTGAAGCGTCTAATTAAAATGGTATAAAAATTAAATGATGATATGTCTAGGAGTCCATGTTAAATGATAATGATATTATTAATATAAATAAAGATAAAGCACAAAAAAAACAAGTATCTGTGCCATTCTGACACCATCTGTTAGTCAAAGCAAAGTAGTGGTGATGATATTTTGAAAGTCTACCTTACATAGCTTAATTCTCTTAAATAAAGTAATGGCTGCTAACTTAAACCTATACTAACCATAAACAGATTGGTGGTGTTTGATATGAAGGGGTTAACAGTTAAAAACACTGCTGCTACCAGTGTTTTCTGTAAAGTCTTCAATGGACTGTATCAGTTACTGAAAGCTACATACTGAGCATGTGACACACTGAGTGATGCAGTTTTGTCAACTGCCACTAGATGTTACCATCTGTTACCAAGTTACTATCTATCTGTTTGTGTGTGTGCACATGCAGATATGTTTGCTGGTATTGAGTATTAACCTGCATTGTACTAATACTAGAAAATAAACAGTGCAGTAGTAGGGAAACGGAAGGTGAACTGTGCTAGCTGTAGGTGAGCTAGGTGCTAGCTCACCTACAGCTTTCAGGCCTTTTGTGTATGATTTATCAATTTAAACTATCCACATATATTACACAGACATACAAGGTGGTTGAATGAGCATCATATTTGGGGCACAACGTAAATATACGTAGAGAAAAAAATATTTATTTTGCCTGCTGATATTCAAAATTGTTGGCGTGATGTTGTTTGCATGCTCGTTTGACTATATCATTGAAAATTTATGCATTCAAATGCCTGTTTCTGATTCCTGTTTAATGATGCATAGTGTCAGTCAGGATCAGCTGGAACTCTGCGTTCTGTCTGCTTGACTGCTGATTGGATCCCATTTGAATCTAGTGATGCTGCCCTCATCTCTGTCCAGGCACGAGGCCACTGATGACACGGCCTGCATTCACACTCTAAACCCCTCTTCCCTCTGCATAAACATTTCTATGTGATAAACACTGAATTAATGTAATATTAAATATGACAGTTTTTCCACAAGCCTGCACCACAACTGAGAAATACAAATAGGGTTTTTTTTCTCTTTATGTTACTAAAAATATTGCAGCTCAGAGATCATCCTAGGAAAATTCAGATTCAATCACTGCGAATTATATCAAAATGGCAGACTACTATGCTTTACAAGGTTTTAAGACAACATAACTGTCATAAATGTAAGATAAGTTAGTTCCACATTTTGCAAATGCACCAAACTGCTTAAATATCTATTACTGTGACATTAGACAGGTGTTCCAATTTTAATTTTTTCTAAATTTCTGTAGCATCTAAAACTCAGTATGTCATGTTTCCTGCAGTTTTTAGACGTTCATTCCAAAAGCTTTTATTATACGCTCCAGCTTCAGCTGGAACTCACTAACTCAGTTACTGCAAATGCTTATTAACAAATTAGTAGAAGCCTGTTTGTTTAATTATTTATTTATTTATTTTTATGCTGCAAACGACAATCCTGCATCATGTTTAACAAACAGCTGGAATAACTGACAAAATAGGGATAATTATAACAAGACATGGTTCCCAGGGTTTGCTTCATTCTCTCTCTTTCCCTGCTTCTCTTCCACTCTCTTTGCTGCTCTTCTCAATACTATACATGGTTACCATGGAAACACACTTGCAGCTCTCGAGTCGTGAGGCCAGTCAGCTGAGATACCACGTCTGGTAAACAAATCCGCAATCTGAACTGCTGGGTGTGTGTCAGAGTTTGTCAAAACATGAAGGCATCAGCCAAAGGTCATAAGTGCCAGAAAGGTGGCCGGAACAGGGGTTCAAACTGAGACAGCTAATGTGACAGTGCTAAACTTTTCCTACTGCATGTTTTATTTAACAGACATTTGAATGGCATGTAATCCTCTTTAATCCACTATAATAGGAACATGACTGAGAGAGACACGGATTTCTAAGTGCAGCTAAAGCTCTATGTTATTTTTTTTTTCATTACTAAACTAATACAAATGCAAAACAAAGTAGACCCCCAAACAACAAACACATGAATTAGACAAGGAAATGTAAAATGTGAAAGAGCACATTCACAAGTGTATAAACTCTCATTCTGCCAACATATTTAACATACATGGACTATAACTGAGTTTCCTGGGTACTCTAAAAAAAGAATTTAATAGCAGAATAATATCTATAACAAGGTTTATTTCTTCTCAAAGCATTATTAGCTATGCAATGTTAAAGCTTAAAGATTACATTATTACATTGTATCAATTTTTATGACTTAAAAGCTTATTCACCATCCTTTGACTCTGGTGTCAGTTTTTGGTAAGTTCAGTTAAACCTCATTTGTATTTACACGATGCAACTATAATGGGCTATTTTGACTCAGTTACAAAAATAATAAAACTAAACACACAACGAAGCCATCCGGACATGTAATCACTCCGGCGTATCCTGGGTTTGCCAATAGGCCTCATTTACATGCTCAAAATACCTCATCTGTTCAAACCACCTAAGTGGCAACAAGACCCCAAGATACTCGAACACCTACACTTGGGGCAGCAACTAACTGCCCCAGTGAAAGCTGGAGGTCAACAGAACCACACCATCTGAGAAAAGTAGAGACCAGATCCTGAGACCACCTAGCCTGCTGCAGTACTTAGAAATATGATGAACAAAGTCTGTGACAAAGGGCAGCCCAGACAGGGACCAGCAGCCACTGCGAACAAGTCTGACTTATTGATGGCAATGCACGCTAAACACTCTACTGTGGTTGGATGGAAACAACTAAAGCTAAATACACACTGCAGGCACTGCACAGCATTTGCCTTGTGCTGTGGCATGTGACAGGGAGAGCAAAGGTTTTGCAAGTGGATTTTCCAGCCAAGCGCTGGACAGTCACATCAGCAGATGGAGCATTGTGATAGTGGAGCAGTATCAGCTGTTTTTTTTCATGTGTTGCATAAGCAGAGCATGCCCCAGCTGTCTCAGGTATATCCACCTCCAACACTTGATGAATTCGAATTATCAGAAGTTGCCCATTCAGATGATGAATGCAGCAAAGGAGACTTTCTTCTGTCCCATGCCCCTGGTATGATATATGTGATGCTTTAACTTAGGACCTATGGCAAATAATTCCATTAATAGAAATACATAGGTGGAATTGAACAAACGGACTGAGAAATTGAATATATTAAAATAATATAATCTACTGGTAAAAATTCAGAAAAAACAATGCAACAAGCAAACATGGGAATAGTTTATCATCATATGGTCACGTTATACTTGTTATTCTTCAACTCTTCTCCTGGTCCATGTTTTTTTTATTCTTGTTTTCATGCTTTCCTTTGCTTTTTGTACCATCGGTGCCCTTTTATCATTTGTTTCTTGTATACCCTCCCTCTACAGTGTATTTAATCTCACTTTTCCCTTCCCTCTGCAAGTTCATCTTTGCACAGCTGCAGCAGTCTCGGCCTTGTGTTTCTTTGTGTCGTTAATAAAGGGTTTGCTTGTCTTTTTGATTCGTCTATCCCCTGTTCAGTTCTGGCCCGACTCGTCGGACCAATCACCTGGATAAAGACTCTTGCCAAATAAAGATTGTAACCCTGATCTGGTCCCTGAGCTGTAGGTTTAAATTCACTTGGTGTTGACACACTTACAGTCATGTGAGAAAATTAGGACACCCCATAAAATAATCGGCTCTGTAT